ACGAAATTTAGGACTTGAGAATTATGTTTCTGTATTTTGAGAATTTTCAAATACAATCATGTTGAAAAACAATTACTTCTTAAAACAATCTACTGAATTTGTTTCATTGAATCTATCAAACCTTTTACTTAAAAGAAAAAAAATTGTATATGCGTTGAGAACCAAATACGAGGAACATTTGATTTTGATTTATACCTGGTTGGAATTGATTATGAGTTCAAGTTATTACCTTTCTACAGGCATGTGCCTACCGGCAAAATCGAAAACCAGCTGTTTTTGACCATTTTTTCGGGGTGGTAAACTACGTTGACCCAAAAGTCAACGACGGTCCAGTTTTTATTATCAAGTCGAAGGGTCTCGGACACGACAGCAGTATCAAATTTCCCTAAATCGCTGGTTACTGACCGAATCGATATATATATTATTTATTAATTATTATTTAAATTACATGTGTCAATATTTGATTGGTTATAATAGAGAGTTCTATAGGAGTATAATAGAACCGGCTACACAGAATCATCCGAACTCTCTTTTTCGCCAAACCCTTCAATCTCTCTCTCATTTTCAACTCATTTTCGCCAAACCCTTCAAACAATCTCTTTTTCGGTCGTTCTCTTCTCTCCTCTGTTCCGATCCGGCGACATCTTCGCCTCTGTGTTGACGATGTCTTCGCCTCCTCTTGTTCTCGTCTCTCCTCTCCTCCAATCCGATATCTGGTAAGAATTGGATTGCCTCTCTGTCTCTCTCTCTCTCTCTCTATGTCTCTCTCTCTTTCTCTTTCTATCTCTTTTTCTCTTCTCTTTATCTCTTCTTTCTTATCGCCTCTCTCTTTCTCTCTTTATGTTTTTGTAATTGCTAATTTGTTAGTTTGTAAAGGATGAAATTAATTAGGGTTTTATTTAGGGTTTGTTTAGGATGAATTGGGAATTTTTGAATAGGGGTTTCTGTTAATTGGGGGTTTCGATGATTAGGGTTTATATTAGAGTTTTTAGGGGGTTCTGTAATCTGTATTAGGGTTTTTTTGTACTTACTATTTCTGTTAATTGTGGACAGAGAGTCCTGCTGTTGCTTTTTGTGTTGCTGTGAGCTGGTGCTGCTGCTTTTGTGTCAAAGCTTAAATTGAGGTATAAATCAAAATCACAATTGAAACATAATTTGAAATTGAATGCATATGTTTTTGTTTCGATTTGAAGCTGCTGGTGTTTTTATTTTTTATTTGTTTTCTGTTTTTTAGCTGCTGGTTGGTTATGTTTTGTATAAATATATTTGTGTGAGAACATGTTGTTGTAGTTGCTAGTTGGTTAGGTTTTGTATAAATATATTGGTGTGTTTTTATGTTTTTGTAGCTGCTGGTTAGTTAGGTTGTGATTGTGTTTTCTATGTGTAGTCTGCTGGTTGGTTAAGTTGTGTGTGATTGTTTTTCGTTATGGTTTCTTTTGTTTTTAGGATATGATGGAGTCTAGCCAATCAAACACTAATGCCTCAGGAATTGCACCTTCCATTCAACCCCAAACAGAACCTCAATCCCAATCCCAAACAGAAACATAAACCAAAACTTAATCACAAGTTGACTCAGGTACTGTGAGAGGGAAGAGGAAACCCCCAAAATATGTGGTGTGGCAACATTGCAAGAAAGTTCACAAGAAAGATGATAATGAGACCGATAAGGTATTTGCAATTTGCAACTATTGCTAATCATAGATGCCGGGTGATTCTAGGGAAAATGGGACAACCGGTATAAGAAATCACCTAAAGAATAGATGCAAGCTCTCTCCTCTTTTTGAGAGTGGAGATAGAACTCAATCGATTTTGACAAATGTCACTATGGGCGGTCAAGCTCAATTGGTTCCCCACACCTTTAATCAACAAAGGTGTGAAGCCAAATGTGTGAGGTATGTTATAAGGGATGAGATCCCTTTTAGGCATGTTGAGGGTGGTGAGTTTAAGGAGTTTGTGTATGAGTTAAACCATAAGTTCAAGATCCCTAATAGACAAAAGATAGCTGATGAAGTATGAGATTTGTTTTTAGTTGAGAAGGCCAAGATAACGAGTGTGATAGGTAATCACAGGGTAAGTATCACAACTGATACTTGGACTTCAATCCAAAACATCAACTACATGGTAGTCACAGCCCATGTCAGAGATAGTGAGTGGAATTTGCATAAAAGGATTATCAATTTCACAAAGATCACCAGTCACAAGGGTATTGACATAGGCAAGATTTTATATGCATGCTTGAATGCTTGGGAGATTGAAAAATTGTTTAGCATTACGGTTGACAATGCTTCGGCAAAAGATGGGGCGGTTGTGTATGTGGGAAATAGGATGAAGGATTTCAATAATCTTTTGCTTGATGGGAAGTATTTACATTTGAGGTGTGCATGTCATATCTTTAACTTGATTGTTAAGGATGAGTTGAAGGAGCTTCTTAGCTCAATCGAGGGGATAAGGAATTGTGTAAAATATATTCACTCATCCCCATCAAAGTTAGATTCTTTTAGGGACCATGCCTTGGAGATGAGGATGGATGAGATGACAAATGTGCCAATGGATGTGGTGACAAGGTGGAATTCAACTTATAAAATGCTTGATTGTGCTTTCAAGTACAAGATAGTATTCAATAGGATGGTGACGGAAAATGTAGCTTTTCAAGCTTACTTTGAGGAAATAGATAGGGATGGGATGAAGAGAGTGGGTCCTCCGAGTAATGAAGATTGGGAGAAATCAATCTCATTTGTTCACTTTCTTAGGAAATTCTATGACACAACCTTGAAACTAAGTGCAACCAAAACAGTTACATCAAATATAATTTTCCATGAATTAGTTAGTTTACAAGTTGAGATTGAACTCAAAATGAATGATCCTAGAGATCCAGTCTTGCAACGGGTGGCTTCATCAATGAAGAAGAACTTGGACAAGTATTTGGGGAGTTTTGAAAGTGTGAATAAGATGATTTTTGTAGCATTAGTGCTAGACCCAAGATTTAAACTTCAAATGCTCAAGATAAGTTTCCAAAATCTCAAGGCCGAAGAAAACAAGATAAATGAGGTTGTGCGTGAAGTGAGAACATGCTTGTTCAATTTGTATAATGAGTATAGAGGAGTGGATGGCTTAGTGAGCCAACCAATGAATGAAGGCGAAGATAAGAATGTTGGAAATGATCTTGAAGGCTATGATGATGTTCAAACCAAAATGTTTCATCAACTTGTGCAACAAAGGAAGGAGGAACAACTTGGGGAAATATCTAATGAAATGGATGAATACTTGATTAGCCCTTTTGAAAGCCCTTTTACCAAATGCTTCAAACTCTTGAGTTGGTGGAAAGACAATGAGGGTAGATATCCAATTCTTTCAAAGATTGCCAAGGATATCTTTGCAATCCCAAGTTCAACCGTTGCTAGTGAGAATGTCTTTAGCCTAGGCAAGAGGATTGTTGATCATTTTAGAAGTTCATTGACACCTAAAATGGTAAAGACATTAGTGTGTACTAGTGATTGGCTTAGGGCGGATGAATTTTGCTTCTACAAGGAACCAACGGATGAAGAGCTTGCATTTTATAAAGAACTTGAAGCACTTGAAGTAAGACATAATATACTATTTTGTTTTAAATAAATTACGTTTCTATCTTCTTTTTTTAACATTCATGTTTGTTTTAAAAAAAAACATAATTTACTTGTTTTTTTAACTAGATGTGGCCGGTACTCAAACTTCTACAACAACACTACCTCCTTGATTTGCTTCCACATCATCATTACCTACTGTTTGAGTTGTGAGAGACACCATGGTTTGTTCTACAAACTTTGTTGTAACAATTTAAGTTTTCATTACACATTTCATATTTGGGTTGTAATTAATTTTAAATATTCACATTGCACTTCATTAATCATTTCATATTTGGGTTGTAATTTAATTTTAAATAAGTTTTCATTGCACTTCATTTTCTATTTGGGTTGTAACTTTTTAATAAGTTTTTATTGCACTTCAATTTGTATTTGAGAGTTGTAACTTCTTATTAAGTTTTACTTATGTATCATAATTTGATGATATGATATGATATGATGCTTGATAATCAAAAGTTTTGAATGACAAAAGTTAGGTGGCCTAAAACTAGTATAAACAAAAGCTTGAAACAATGGCCTAAAACTAAAAAGGCTTCTACAAATTGAGCAAAATCTTCAAAACATATGTTGAAACTAAAAACAAATTGGGCTTCACGGTAAGCCTACAACCGAACCGGATAGGCCAACAATGCTGTTCAAAAGCAACCTGCGGAACCGGTCGTGGTAGTGAGAATGGCCATTCCGATCGGTGTCGGATAGTAACCAATTGCCATAGATCGGAGCAATAATCAAACCGAAAACAGCACTATCTTTTCATACAAATTTCTAAATAAACCAAATTCTATATATGTATTTATAAAAAAACCCAAACACTATTTAAACATAGAAACACACCCAAAATCAATCCCAAAGTCAACAATTGTATTTATTTTTGTGTGTTTATAAATAGGTTTTGAGTGTGTGTAATGATGAGTTTTGGGTGTGTTTATAAAGTGTTTTGAGTGTTGGGTTTTTTTATAATTTCAGCTCCCATTTTAGGTGTTTTAGTGAAACTCCCATCTTTTTATACCAAAAAGAAATAGTTATGCTTTATAGACTACAGTGAGAGAGAGAGAGAGAGAGAGAGAGAGAGAGAGAGAGTAAATATTTATTTTGTTCAATAAACTTCAAATTTTCAGATATTGACAAAGGAGCCCACATGATCACGGAGCAGATATGTATGGGCCATGCACAAGTCCTTTAAGCTCCCATCACACGACAAAAACGACAACAATCTCTGAGCTTTCGAAAGCCGAGCCGAGCCGGCCCTCCCATTTCAACAGGCAATAGCCGGTTTCACCGGTTACAAAAGGCGTGACCGTACGGCAAATGGCAGGTCGTTTCCTTGGCAGTTGGTAAGCATTTAGTGTGCTCCTTCTCTCTCTCTCTCTCAGCAAATTCCAATCTTTTTCACTGACTCTTACAAAAGCCTCTACATTTTTCACAATCTTCAATTGATTCATTTTCCTTTCGTCTTCCAGATCCCTCTAAATTGTTCAAAACCCTGTTTTTTGTTTTCTTCTCAGAGCCTCTTATTATATTGCTGCCATTCAAGCAGGTATTAATCTGGTTTTTCAATTTGGTTTTGGACACATTTGGTTCATAGCCAGTTCTGATTTTGGGCTGGTTCAAATTCATGTCTTGCTGATTTTAGCTTCAAAAGTTGATAAATTTGTTACCAGCTCACACACTGTTCTCATTTTCTTTTTTCTTGGTTTTCATGATTATGGTTTATTGGTATTCACTTTGTCATGGTTTTGTTCTATGGTTATAATGCAATCAAATTTTCTTAATTCGTTGTTGTCAATGAAACTTTGAAGCATAGCTGAGCTTTTGAAAGAAAAAAAAATCCCAAAGTGAGGCATAAACAGTCAAACGAAAATGCTGTGCCTGTTTTTCCTTTTTCCTTTTATTTAACCATGTTGGTTTTGTACCCTTTGTCTGATTGGCTCAGTTAAGTCGGTTTTTTGATTAATAATTATTTTATTCAGTTTTTAGATTGGCGATGGTTTTTTTAAGTTCAAATTGAATTCTTAATTTCTGAATTTCTGACACTTTCTCAGCTGCCAAACAAGGTTTTGGGATTGCTTTGGTTGAGTGCTGATATATTTTCTCGGTTTTTAGTTAACTGCTCATGTATTTTCACTACAAGAGTGAAGAGTTTTCTTTTATTAATATTTTGCTAAAGAAAATTTTCAGCACTTGTTGATGAATTCCTATAGAGAACAATTCCGTTCAATTTAATTCAATGCAGTATTCTTGTGAGAAAACTAATCCATGTGTATATATATTCTGTTTATTCAGGTCTTGCATGATGTCACTGCAAATGGAAGCTTGATGATAAGCATATCTTTGATCTGAAGCAACAGTGCTTCATTTAATGCGATCAATCTTAGCCCGTGAACCAGTGATTGGATTCTATCTTCTTTGCTCATAGCATTGAACATTTCCCTAAAGAGTTCGTGTCAGACCTCAAGAATTTGCTCATTCATAAAGAAGAAGGGTCTCTTTCTCTCTCATTAGAATTAATTCCGATCACTTTATGTCTCTGGGTTTATTTATGACATGACCTTTATTTGTATTCTGCTTCAGGGATCAAAATTGGAGCTTGGGATCTTCTTCTTCAAAAATAGAATAAAAAACCTTTGTTGGCTAAATGGGTGCACAAAATTTCTTCTATCTGTGCAAATTAGTTGGAGACTGAGATTTGATTTTATCGTAATTGGTAGGAGAACATCTTAGAGTTTAGTAATATAAAAAAACCCATTCGAGAAAGAGGTCTTTTGGATTGAAAAGATGGTTTTTTAGTTCTCAAACTGGCCAATTCAGAAGTTGGGTATTGAGTACTGGAGCTAAAAACACTTCTGTGCAGTGGTTTTATTTGTTTTTTAATTGTTTCTGATCCAAATTGGGAAGAATGCTAGAGCCTGAGCTCTGTTCTTCTAGGATGCTATCGCCTTTTCGTGAGGAAAGCGGGGATGAGGAACTTTCAGTTCTTCCCAGGCACACCAAGGTCATTGTCACTGGAAACAATAGAACAAAGTCTGTCTTGGTGGGTCTGCAAGGTGTGGTCAAGAAAGCTGTTGGACTTGGGGGTTGGCACTGGCTGGTATTTTCTTTTTACTTTCCTAAACTGTTTTCTTTTCATTTAATTTCTCTTAATTTGCTTTATGTGGGCTTTGGGCGTCATTTTGTTTTTTGTTTTTTTGTTTTTGGAACTGTTGTGCCTAATTTTTGCTTTGATGTAGTTTTCTAGATTATTTGGGTTGTTTTCTTTTTCTTTGGTCAACTGTGTTTTTTTTTAGGTTGGGAAGAAGAAAGTTGGACTCTTAAGCATTTTTCTTTTTTCCAATACTTTTTTATTTACTTTCCTGGTTTCTGGGTACGTAGGATAATAGGTCTGTGCACTGTTGTTGTGTTTGTTGTGTCAAATTTTCCTCATTTACTCATTCAAACACGTTTTAACTTCATGGGACAAAATTCAAAGAAATTTGTAAATTTAACAATATCCCATAAAATTAGGCATCGGTCTCCGGCAAGGCGTGGTTCTTTTCTGCTTTGAGTAATAGAGGGTTTTTGCTTTGTCAACCAATTAAAGATTTACGTTCTTGGACGGCAAAATAGGAATTGTAGTTTTCTCTAGTTGGGTTTCATTGACGACCATTTGCATAGAGCTCTCATCCTTTATGAGCTTGTTGGATCTAACCAATCATGTCTGCCAATTTACCCAATAGCTATTAGTCTATTGGTACTTCTCTTCCCAATCTTGGAAGAGGCCCCAAGTTTGATCCCCTCTTCCTGGTTGATAAAAGAAAGAAAAGAAGTATGGTTTCTTGATGTTATGTCTACTTGCCTATGCGTTCGTGAAAAAATTGCACTTCAGTACCCTCCTCTACATTTGGGATGCATATTTTAACCCATTAATTTTCGCCATACAAGGTTCTGAAAAATGGGGTTGAAGTTAAACTGCAAAGGAATGCATTGAGTGTGCTGGAACATCCTACAGGGAATGAAGAAGATTCTGATCATGATTACTCTAGCAGCAGCTCTGACCATGGTGACAAGGAGAATGATTTCTGTAAGTTTCATTATACCATACCTGATGACAATTCTAATTTCTTCAGTTATCATATTAACTGGTAGAGTTGTTCCACTGCAACCTGGAGGTTGTTGACTTGAAATGGGAAACAGCCTCTCTGCAAGGAGGGACCATATTCAGATCTTGATGATGGGATTGCTCTTCTTGTCATATTCAATTGGCATTTATTAGAACTTAAAACTATATTTAAGTTTGTTATTGTTTTTCTTTGGGCAGCTAGATGTCTTGAGTTTCACAAATCTAGTAAACCAAGAGTTCGATACCCAAGGCCATATGTTCCATCCACATTAACCAAGTCAATAAATCGCGGAAGTTATAGAGAAGTTCAATCCATCCACAGACCTCAACCGGTAAGAAATTGCAAAGGAGAGATCTAGGTGTTTATGTGATTTGTCCATGTTAATGAACTTCTTGCCATTGACCCTTTAATCCGTCAAGCAAATGAGTCCCAATATGTTTTCACTTGTTTTTAAATAGTGGTATAAATATTGTGTGGAATAAAAAATGATATTGAATTGGGAGGTTTTTGCTTTAATTCCTTTGGACTAGTTGGATGCTTCATTTTGCCTATGATGAACACATGATTTGCTTGAATATGCTCGCCTGACTCGCTACAGTTGTTCTGTTAAATGATACATTTTCAGGCTTAGTGAAGCAATCTTCATGATCTGATATCTAGTTACTCTTGTATAACTATTATGTTGTCTAAGTGAAATCTTCATGATCCCAATTTCTATTTACACACATTATTGTGTTGTCTAATCCTTTGCACGGATGATCAGAGGGTAAACTTGGCAAAACTAGGAACAAGCACATTGCGGAGGTATTGCAGACACTTCAACCTTGTGGGTATCGCTGATTCCTACACTTTGTTTTCTCTCTGCACCAGACTGGTTATGATATTTTTTGACTAAATCCAGTTTGGAATTTGAAATTGTAGCTAACCAGCAATTCTAATCCAACAAGAGAACAATTGATCAATGTTGCACAACGACATTTTATATCGCAGCAGGTCTGTCTCACTCACTCGCATACAAGTGTGTAAACAGAAAAGTACATATATGCTGTTTGAACGAGTAGTTGGATTTTTATGGTATCCTCTTTTTTTCTTGGTTACAGATGCCATTGGATGAAGTATCGGTGGTCACTGAATTCGTCGATGCTACCAGGAGTCGGAAATATGCTGAGTGGGCTGGAAAACGTGCAGAGCGAGAGATGTGAATGTTGAAAGGAAGGAATGCTTGTATAATAATATACATATATATATCTACCCTAACCTTTAGATCAGATCTAATCATAGACTGATATGGAGAGTGATGTGGAGAGTGTTTGGCTTACTATAATCTCTCCCTCCAACCCTAACTTTGTGCTACAGGGCTCATACCTTACCCATGCTATATATCATCAATCATTAGATATCTTCTCTCTTCTCTCTGTTATTTGAGTCTAAATGTGATGTGATTGGTTTTTTAAGAAAATGTAGATGTAAATTTATTTATTGTTGGTTTATAACTTCTGGGTTTTGCTTGAATTGAGTATCCTATGAAGTTTTCAGGTCCTTTTTGGCCTCAAAACTTGTTTGAAAAATTGTGTGTTGGCAATGGGGCCATATCTGTTCAAAACTTTAAATGATTAGAAGCATTGGTGGGTGTATAACTAACAAACCCCTCAATTATATATAAATAATTAATTATGGGGTTTTGCTGGTGGTGACACCAAGACAGGCTGTCATTTGGTGACATGGGGATCTGTGTGGTACTGTGGTTGGGTGATATGGACATCTTCTTCTCCATGTTGTACCCTACGTGGCCACCCCATAATTTTATTTTCTGTTTTTAGGGAAGGCCACCAGCTCTCCTTTCCGCTGACAAGTTCACAATTTTGTATTGCAGATAATTTTCATGATTATGTTATTGCCTGCTAACTAAGTAATTGTACGAATGAGTTGCAATGCTTTATGGTGTATCAGAAAAAAGTAGAACACTTTTTCCTGAAAAGTGGTATGAAGTATGACAAATTCGGCTGATGCGCCCATTGAGTACAATTATCTACTTGGCCCATCCTAAGGCTAGTTTTAAGAAGGCTAGGGCAACTAAGAATAAACATGAGATCATCCAAGAATCCTAGCCCTAGAAGAATTGTCATCCTCTACCACTCCATGTAAGGATCTTGGGACCATTCCACCAAGGTATGCAATGCTAACCACGAAAACTGTCTCGTACGCTTTCAAGGTTCTGGAGGACAGCTTGGTTGGTCATGCTTACCTAGGTTGGACGAATTGCCCGATCTTAACCTCGAGAGGCCAACAGAACACTGTCCACTTCTATGAAATCCTAGGTAGAAATGTGATGTGATTATGCCACCATTACCATGTGTTTACAGAAAATGAATGGGTTTTATGAACAAAAAGGGCCACAGATTAAGCTAAGGAATATCAAACCCAAATTTACCAGCTGTGAGCCTGTCTAAGCAGGCTGAGTCAAAGCCCAAAAATATTTGTGGGCTTGAAAACAATGGCCCAACCAAATGGGTTGTCCCACCCAAGAAGAAGCAGCCACCTTGGTACAACAACAATCAACAAACCCAAACCAAATTTCAACAAATAATATTTTTTGTTTTAAAGAAAAAGAGATAATCTATTTTTTTTTATATAATTTTTTTTCTTGAAAACAAGAGAAAAGTATTTATATTTCTCAATTTCAGTATTATTTACTAATTTAGTATTTCTTTTCCCACTGAAAGTGCACACAAACGCAGACAAAAACAGAACCAAAAGCCATCTCTCCACCAAAACGCACTCCTACAAGTCCACCGTCTCTCACCAGTCACCTTCAAATTCCCAATTCCCAAATTCCAAATTCCAATTCCGATCGAAGCGTTTTCCATCCACAGGTACTAAAATTTTTCCAACTCCGAAATTCAAAAACGTTTGCTAAAAACCAACTGTTTAGAATTTACTTCTTCTTCTTTGTTTTGTTTTTTAATTTTCGAAGAATTTTTGTGCAAAAACCTATTCGATTGATTTTTCTTCATCTTCTTCTTAGTTCATTGGTTTAGAGATTTTGTAGCTGATTATATATTTGTTTCCTCTGAGTATTGGTATCTTCTGCTTTGGCTTTTAGCTTTTGTCTTCCATAATATTTTGATGCTGTGTTTTTTGTGTGTATTTGATTGCCCTTGTGCTTAGTTTTCGTGATTTATGTAAGGTTTTATACCTTTGCTCTTCGTACTGAGCGTTATTTTATATGCATGCTCATAGTTTTTGCTGCTTTGTTCATGGTATTGGAGAAGTTTGGTTTTCTTTGATTTTTACTTTTTATTTTATAGCTACATGTATTCGTGATGCAGCTAATATCAATAAGAACATGTTGGGTTTACTGGATTTTTCGCTTATGAGCATGGTAGAGTTTTATAAGAATTTGGGCCATTTATATAACTTTCCAAAAGCTAGAAAGATATGATATGATCCAGTTAATGATGATTGCTTTGAACTAGTTTAATCAAAGTTTAAGAAGGGGACCCTTTGAGTTTGAACAGCTGGTTTAAGCTGTGGGGGGCGTCAAAACATAGAATTGTATTATTGGTTTTGAGATCGTAATTTTTCACAAGACCAAACAAAATAAGATGTTCAACATATTAGCTTATTGCTAACTGTGCACATGTTCTGTTATGTCTAACGGATTTTTTCTGTTTTTTTTAATAAAAAAATGTTGAAGGGGATAATGTGGCATCAAATGCCAATAGTTCTAGGTCCGCAGCAGAGATAAGTGAAAGAAGACAATGGGAGGCTGCTGCTGTTGTTCTTCCAAAGGAACTGAAATAAGTGCCGCACCGACATACTATTACGTGAGTAGAATGCTTTTCCTCATCCTAAATGCCTTTCTTTGTTTTTCTATTTCTTTGTGTTGAGCTACATCTTTTCTGTTAAAAGTTTATGTTTCATTTTTTGTTTCTTGTGAATGATTAAGGAGATTTGGCTGTTAATAATTGGCTTGATAAATGAACTCAATTTTTCGATATTAGAGTAGGTTGGAACTGTAGTTGATTTTTTTTCTTTTTAGTTATCACATTTATTGTTCTTTATATATTTGTGAACTTGAATTTGTGTGCAGTATCCAAGGTCATCGGATGAGCATGTGCCATTGTCGTCTCGCCAAGGTGTTACCTCTGCACTCTCCACAGGGCTTCTCGTTGATACAAATTTGGATACATCAATTCCTGACACTTATAGACCACCTCCTACCCCTATTCCATATGACGTGGCTGTAGAAGGGCATCCTCATACTCCACCAGCAGCTCAAGAAATTTGTGGCAACAAGAGTGAAGGTGCAGTGCTGACAACAAATTCTGATTCTGTTCATGAAGCAGTTGGTGAAAATGCTCAAGAAGCTTCAGCTAAGTGTGAAGACCTGAAGGATTCAGACTGTAAGGCCCAAACTGATTTTGAACTTGATGCGGAAAAGAAGTCAGAAGTTGAACTTTCGAAGTCAGTGGAATCTGTTGCTTTAGTACCAGAGGAAGAGGATGTTTGCCCCACCTGTTTGGAAGGTAAAGTTATTAGTTCAACTGTTTTAAACTTGTATAAGGGAGGCAATTCTGTTTTACCATTACTCTTAATTTAATAAAAATCCCCTTCATTTGACTATTGTGGGCTTACTGCAAGTTGTCCATTCAAGCTGCATTCTTTGTTTTCCTTTTCCATAAAGATGTTAAACATTTAGTCACTAGACCATTTCCTTCGTCTCTGCAGAGTATGATGCACAGAATCCAAAAATTACCACAAAATGCGAGCATCATTTTCACCTTGCTTGCATTCTTGAATGGATGGAACGAAGTGACACATGTCCTGTGTGTGATCAGGTTTGCCTTGCTTAATATTTTCTTTTGTGTTGTGATTCGATGAAAAGAGATATCCATTATCACACATAGTATTCAGAGGGCTCTTCTTCACTTATGATGCAGGAAATGATATTTGATCCCCCAATTTAGTTCAACCAGCAATTGAAGTCAAGTTCTTTCCTTATTCAAGATTGGTTTGAGAAGCAGAGGTTACAAATGCATGAAGGTTTTTCTTTCCTCCTTTTCTGTGTTCACTGTTCAGTGACAGTCACAGACATGGCTTGTTTTTTATTTTGTTTCTGGAGCTATGGTCATTCAAATGCAGTGTCGTTGTGCATTTGTTTCCTTTCAACTCAATGATAATGAAAAGGAAGAGGGGGTAGAATTGACACTGGCTGAAATTAGTATTGAGGTCGATTTTCTATTTGTAATGCATTCATTCTTAGATCTAGAGCATCTTACTATGAACCATAAAATGACATGAGTTAAATAGATACTGAAGTTGGGAGGTAGTAGTCAGATTCATTGTCCACAATGAGAAGTTAGTTTCCAAACAAGAAAAGCGAACGTATTGTTCTCTCTCTTTCTCTTTCCGAATATAGTTTGTTTTTTCCATGGTGAGCTGGTCCACATGTGAGCAGTTGGTTTTTGCTTTCTCCCTTGAATTGATCGTGTAAATGGCATAAAATTACTTGTTCATTGCTGGTGCTGGAGTTCATTAGTGTGATGGAAGAAGGTTCATGTGAAAAGGACTTGTTGGTTTTTCAGAAGATTCATGTATATAACTCTGGGTTTGGTGATATGTTTCATTAAGTTGATTGACATGTAGATTCATGTTATACATGTTAAAGGTTACGTCTTGTATTTATACTATACATAAATACATATGGTTGGCCCTTTTTATAAAAGCATACAGAGTTTGTTTGTTCATATTTACCAACAACAAAAAAACATGGCCAGGGGTGTAGCTAAAGTTCGAACTTAGAGTTCAATATTTTTCGGCAAATTTCAAACTTAAAAGAGTTCAATATGTTCTGGGATTGAAATTGGGAAGGGCTTGCATTGCATGTTTGTGTGAAGGTGGACAAGGCTGGACCAAAAAGTTGAAATAGATTCATATGCTCTTTTGCTTTTTAAAAAACATGAAGAGACAGCATTGAGGCTTTTAATTTAAGTATATCTTCTTGTTCCATCCTAAAATGGAATCTTGGAAGAAGCACGCTACTGGGCCTTTTGCATTTGCTAGGTGCTTCCCATACTGCTTCTGAAAAAAGCACTTCTGTGAAACTCAACACTGGACGCATGCAAACGCACTGGCCTCGAACTGCATGCTTGTGTATGTACCCAATCATTTTCATGTAGTCACGTGAGTGTGTGAGAGAGAGGGAGACAGTGATGATGTGCTGTGCTGATGAGCCTCGTGTTCTAGGAATTATTCTAACTTAATGAGTTGAGGTTATTTGTCATTAGAAAGATATCACGTACAAGGGCTGATGGTTTTAGTGGGGAATTTATTAATTTTATTAATTGATTACCACTTCATCTTTTATATTTGCATTGCCTTGGTATTAAAGTCAAAT